GTTGTGATCGCTTGGAAATACAGGAAAAAATACATTTCAGAAACGCTGTTTGGTTTCAATGAATGAGTGAAAGAAATGGAAAAACGCCCGGCCAATAGATAAGAAACAATGAAGTATTCCGTTTTTTATCATAAATATAGATGGACAAGAGACGCCGTTTGATTTCTGTAAGAGAAAAAAAGAAAGATGAAAAGAAAGTAGATAAAGTGATAGTATTTTCATGTGTTTAAGTGAAACTTCAATGAAATACAAAACGTTTAAAATTGTAGAACTCGAAAAAAACCTTATGCTTTCATTAAATATTATGAAATATCAGGAAATTCAGATAGAAAAACCATGAAATTCTGAGGATTACTACTTGTTGTATTCTATTTTATTTATTAACAATTCACTTATATTGTTTTACTAATGCTGAGTAAATAAATATCAAAACAAAATAGTAATGACTCGGGAAAATAATAAAAATTATCTAGGGCTCGAATATTTTTGCGTAAAATTACATACAATTAAAATGTTGCAAACATCCCTATAGAGGAGTTCGAACTCGCCGTTGAAAACTGAGCAAACTGGAAAAACACCTGATACCGAAGGTATAACTTTGAAAAGAATATCCTCACCTATCTGAGAGAATTAAGAATTAACACTAAATCTCGGGCTAAGACGTCACAGTCAACACTTCAGCATGTGTCTCGAGTGGACTTGTTTGCAAATCCCTTGCAGGATTGTTGTCTCATACGAAACAAAAAAAATAAAACTGATCTGAAAGACAGTCATACGTCGAAAACGACGGGAGACTCCATCATATAGATAGATAGATAGATAGATAGATAGATAGATAGATATAAATATAAAAGGTGAACATTGAAATCAACACTTAGAGGCGACAGGCTGTTTCATACTAGAAACAATCGTCAGGTTGTCTGTCGCCTCTGAGTGTTAATTTAAATGTTCACTTTTATATTTATATTTACATACGTTCTATCTCTGATATTAAGCACTTTATCCCATAAATATAGCACACCATTAAACTATATTTCTTCATATATATATATATATATATATATATATATATATATAATATATAATCACATGTATGTCCATAAATACCCATCAATTTTAGTCGCTAGTTTCTTTTAGCCCGTTCTCCGCCTTTCCTTTATTAATCTTGGCTTTTTCTTCAGGAAACATTAATCATTTTCCACTTTTAATTTTCTTTTCACTAACTCCTAGTGTTTATCGCAACATACTTCTTTGCCTGTTCTCTTTTCGGCCTCGCGGAAGTCTACTTGTTCCTCTCATGAGATCTATTTTCTCTTTGTCTCTTTTACTCTTGTTTAAGATGTTACTGTTGCACAGCACTCGATTTCTCATGTTTCTACGGACTACACAAATATCTCGCTACCTCACTCTACTCATTTTCAAACGACACCAAACGATACGAACTCTCTTATATTTCCGCGTATAAGGTGGCTTCTAAGTCTTAAATATTACCGCCCAAAATAGAAGATCGTCTAATACAACGGGTGTATCGGCATTGTTAAGTAGGCTAGTATTGATGTGCTATAGATCGTGGTAGACTATCAACTGCCTCGGTATGGTAACTACAGATAGAGTTTCTAGTTGAAACAATCCCCATTATAATGCTGTACTACAGTCAATTTCTAACCGACGTAATGTGGCTTCTCTGTTTTTTTCTGTAAATCTTTTCATGGCAACTGCTCTGAAGAGCTATTTTCCCTGGGGCCCCGACAGTATGAATTTAAACGTGCTACTAGGTTAACATCTCGGTCCAAACCTTTTACTGTCGAAACAGTTAGATGTAACTGCCACTTCTACTCCAGCGGTTTCTTCTCTCGCACTTCCCGACAGCAGAGCTCCCTTCCTCTTACTTGCTTCCTTAATAACTATAATCTTCAAAACTTTAAAAGTAATGTCAATCGGCATCTTCTGATACCTTGATACCCGTTCTTCTTTTCATCCTTTCCTCAATTCCCCCACTACCCACTGTTTACCCTTACTTTCACTCCCTGTAGTGCTTTGCGTATTACTGGAACCCCCGCCTTTGCAATGCTTTTATAAAAAAAAAAAAAAAAAGAAAACGACTTTTACTTCAGGATTTCACTTTAAACTATAATATTCATATTCCTCTGACCAACACTCACAAGTAACCTAAACATATTTTTCGTTCTTCATTTGTCGAGATATGTAATTACACCAATCATTATTTCTCATAGTAGTGTTAAATAACGACATTTAAGATAACATACACACTATATTTCTAATTAAAATTAATTATCTATGTGGCGTGAAATAAATACAACATTTAGTATAACATGAAATCTTTATTTTTTAAATAGCATACATTTTACGCTTTGTTTGTTTTTTTGCGATGTTACGCAACAAAACATTTAAGATGCCATAAAATCTTTATTAGCCTTCACAGAATAAAAAAATAAGACATCTACATACAGACTTAAACATTAATATGACCATCACCATC